CTGCTCTTCGAAACACGTGCATCATGAACTTTTTGGGGCAAAAACAAGTTTGTATTTTCACTCGCAACTTTTTTTTAAAAGCTATGTTCCATTTACTACGAACTTTGGGATACAGAGAACGGATGCTGTGTCCCACTCAGGTTTGTATAAGCAGGCTCGGCTGTACTAGTATTATCGCTGACGTCTAAAAAGTAAACGTTTTTAGCTCTGTAGGATATTTCATGCAGCCCTAAGAAATAATAAATAATACCATGCACCAGTTTATTTGGATTTTTGCCACCTTCATTTGCTACTACTTTATGATTATTACTATTACTTTACGCTTCCCTGCGGCGGCTGCATTTTCGATGGAGGCGGAAATGTTGTATGCCCGTGTGCTCAGATTTGGGTGCACGTTAAAGAACCCCAGGTGGTCGAAATTTCCGGAGCCCTCCACTGCGGCATTTCTCATAATCATATGGTGGTTTTGGGATGTTAAACCCCAGATATCAATCAAGCTACGTGAATACCTGATACACACTGGCTTTGTCCTGCATTTAGCTTGACTGATGGCTACTATGCAAATCCTAATACATTTAAAACACTTTCTATTGGCTGAACACTAAGTGGTGTCTGCCAAGGTACCCAGCTTTCAAGGTACAGCCGTCAACACCTTTAACTTGAACGCTCCGACGCGTGGCCTCGGCTTGCTTGGACTGAGGTCAGCACCACCAAGCGTTGAAAATGATATGCTTGCTGCAGCTAAGGATAGATGTAGCACGCCTCGGGGTCACTAGTAAATTTCTCTTTCCAGTCTGCCTGACCGGCGGGTCAAATGCACTCACTTCGCATTCCGTTTTCGCCACGTTTCGTTCGTGGATACACTATCGCGTGCACCCGTTGTTTTTTACTTATCTCAACAATGAACTATTGCGTGTGACAGCTTACACACCTTTTGTGTTTGAATTCACAGCTGCTGCTGCTCAAAAGGTATCACATGTATAAAAAGCAGAGCAAACGCACGTTCAAGGCATTTGTAAATGTTGCACAATAAATCTGAATTGCACTGGCATTGTTCATGTTCTGATTCAGCAATTTTCAGACAGTGTGAATCGAACTGTTCTCGCAATGTAAAGTGTGCCTTTCTGCTCGGTTCGTGCTGCACGAAAGATGTCTTGTAGCATGACGTTAGTGCGAGTAATAATATCTGGGGTTTAGTGTCCCAAAATCATGATTTGATTATAAGATAAGATGGCAGTTTAAGCTTTTATACAATAACTATCATGTAAATTGCTTTGTTTGCGCTTTATTGATGCGTCTTTCTTGCTGAGAACACGCACAAACATCGCGACATCTTCTGTGCCGCATGAACCGAACAGAAAGGCACACTCTAAATTGTGAGAACAGTTCAATTGATGCTGTCTGCAAATTATTGAATCAGAACGATAACAATGCCACCGCATTTGAGATTTATTTATTGTGCAACCTTTACAAATGCCATGAACATGTGTTTGCTATTTATACATGTGATTCCTTGCTACGAATTCAAGCTCGTAAGGTGCGTAAGCTGTCGCATGCAATGGTTCATTATCGAGATAGGCATACAAGAACGAACGCCATAGACACGTGCATTAACATAGCCACAATCGAAACGCGATGAAAACGGGAATTGGAAGTGAGTGAATTTGACCTGCCGGTAAGACAGACTGGAAACAAATTTACTTAGTGAAATCGACGCTCTACATCTGTCCTTAACTGTAGCAAGCATATCATTTTCAACACTTTGTGGCGCTGACATCAGTTCAAGCAAGCCGAGGCCACGCTTCGGAGCATCCAAGTTAAAAGGGCTGACGGCTGTACATAGGAAAAAGCTAGCATGTGCTAGCAAGCGTGCCAGTGTTTTTGGAGAGGACAATAAGGCCCGTATTCACAAACCAACCTCAACCTTTCCTTGAGTTTTCTTTATCGGTAGTAAACTTTTATTGCACATGATAAACAAATTGAACCAGTATTCATAAACCAGTCTTGTCCCTATCTTTCACTATGTTACCATTTTTGTGCCTTTGTAACGCATGTAGAGAGTACAGGAAGTTGAGGAAAACGTAAGGTAAGGCCAAGGTTGGTTTGTGAATACGGGCCTAAGCATTAGCAAGTAACTGTCACAGCAGGCTCGGTACGACATGTGTGCCCTATTCAGGCACGTGGTGCTTAAAAGAGTACACATGCAGTAGAATGTCTACCACTTTACATGAACATAGAAGATGATGAAACATTAGGTTGATAAGCATCGGTCTAGACCGGAAATACAAAAATGGGATACTGTTTCGGTATTTCTGCAGTAATTTATATTTTTCATTTGCTGAATCTGAAGCAAAAAGTAGAAGTATTACTGAGACTGTTTACTGCGGATCATGTAATTATGCAACAACCATGCCTGTCCCACTGACCACGTAGTCGGCATCATTGAGTGCGTAGTTTGATGAAAAGGGAACGAGTGATGTTTCGCTGCCCCGCCGCGGTGGTCTCGTCGCTAAGGTACTCAGCTGCTGACGCGCTGGTCGCGGGATCAAATCCCGGCTGCGGCGGCTGCATTTCTGGTGGAGGCGGAAATGCTGTAGGCCCATGTGCTCAGATTTGGGGGCACGTTAAAGAACCCCAGGTGGTCGAAATTTCCAGAGCCCTCCACTACGGCATCTTTCATAATCATATGGTGGTTTTAGGACGTTAAACTCCACATATCATCATCAGAGCGATGTTTCGCTGTCCTTGAAACTCAATTGCAAGTTTCCTGCTGTGTGCAACTTAACAACATTTTGCTCAAACGTTCACAGGACCAGTGTCTACTGATTGGCAGTACGAAAATTTTTGTAAAGTTCATAAAACATTGCAGGGCTCCTTTAGAGGCCAGTCCATTCCTCTCACATATTGGCTTTGTTACGAGTACTTCTTGTGGTCTAGTTGGTGCAGTAACGTAGCTCTAATCTGTAGAGTGCAAATGAGGCATGCATTAAACAAAGGAGATAGGATGAGTGCTCAGACTGTCTTCATTTTGTGTGTCTGATTTGTCTACCACATACATAATGGTTATAATTTCATGTAACTTACCATTTTATTTCTCGTCCTTTTCTAAAGTCTCCATTATGTTATGGTGGGTGCTTGCCAAAGTTAGTCCTTTTAGCAACAAAAATTAAGTCCTCACATGTGCTTTGAAGGTTTTTTTTTTTTGTTTTGTTGGATGATCTGCTCCCACAGCTGTGATGTATGTGATGAACACATGTAAACCTGTGGCCAGCTAAAAACAAATCTCAATGCCACTGACTTTTATGCCAATATATTGTGAAGAAGCACCTTGACACCTGTCACATACAGAACATACAATCGCACTGTATGTAGTTAGTCAGAACAAAGTATCCATAACAAAAATATGCTTGTGTTCGAATACACTTGATATGCCTAGAAATGAGAATATGTCATGGAAAAAAAGTGCGACTGGCAACAAAATGTACATCATGTTTACACAAAACCTCACAACAACATATATTGGAGAACTGCATGTAACACACCTATTTAAGCAACGTTCAGTGCACATACTGTGTAAAAAAAGATGTAGAGAATATCATGCTCGCTCACTCGATGTTATGCTTTAACTTCACGTATATAAAGGGAACAAACCCAGGCAAAAAAAAACACTAAAATTCAGGATACACTAGCTTCGTAACACAACCATACGGGTAGAATTACTCTAAATATGCATAAAAGTAGTATAGTAGTGTCAACACAATGGTGTTGTTCTAAATGTAAATAAAGAGCCCACTTTATAATAACGTGACAAGAAACAGAAGCTCAAAGTCAAAATTTTTAAGTGAGTCACAATAGCGCAGCTACCGTAAAATCCCGAGCAAGCATCCCTTCTCGAGCAAGCACCCCCAGCCATTCTTGGGGAGATTTGAAATATGCCCGCCCCCTTTCTTTTCTGCCATTTTCCCTGTTTTGTTCACGCATTGAGGGCAAATAAAGAGCGAATGCATTGTATTCAACGAAGCATTTAATTAAAAGCTTGGGGGTTCACTCTTTATTCTTAGTTGCTCTTCCGCCGCCACCATGAATTTTGATGCAAGACCGAGCTAGCCTCCCCACCCCCGAAATTCTTGTTGGATATTTTTTCACCATAGAAAGGGCACTTGCTCAGGATATTCTGGTAGGTGCACTTTATAATAGTTCGAGGGTTTTATTGAAATATGCCATATAAATTATGTTTAGCCAGAGCAAGGTGGGCGATAGATAATTGATTCCCCCGAGAAATGAAACGAATGAGTGAAAGCATTGTGTCTCCACGGATGAGTGAGTCAGGGGACCCAACTTTTAGGAGAAAGAGCTGCTGTTACATGTGGCTCATGTTGAAGTGTGCAATATATTTATGTGAATATATTTCAGTTGCAAAGAAAACTCCAGTTCAATTTCTCCTGTCAAGCAGCAGTGGCTGCATCCTAATGGGGCAGAATCTGGCGAGGCTCACGTTCCATATTGTAGGGACATCCTAGAGCTCTACAAATCATCAGAAGTATAATCCTTGTCCTTTAAACAGTTTCTTTATTGCACCTCGTGTTGTTGTGCTAATGTTATTGCCATCAGTTGCAGCAATATTCCTGTTATTCTTAATGTCTTGGCACTTCAGTGGTTGTGGTCCTCAGCCATTGTTGTTGGTCATCACCATTATTGCTATACAGGACAATGGGTGTCTGAGAGGTTCAGGTTGCTGAGGTACTTCCCATAAATCCTGCCAACTAGGCCCCTTCGGTATATCCGATATTCATTCTAAAGATATATTCATTACATGCTAATGTAGATGAGAAAAAAGTCAATGTGCATTCTATCGTATAATTTTTTATATCCATTTTCACTTTATCAGTGACACAGTAGCATGATGTCTGAATATATATCCACGAGTCCATGCATATCAATGACCCCTGCCCTCTGTTGTACTTCTTGATAGAGTGTAATTGTATGAGTACTTGTTGCAGCCTCTTTGGCCAGTCCAGCGCTCCAGCATTTGGCCAGCCACAGGCTGCGAGGTAAATCATGGTCCTAAGTACTCGCAGGACATGCATGAATACTTAAGAATGCTAAATCAGATTAGAGACCTACATTGCGTTAAGCATGACTGCATGCATACATGCATGCCCATTCTTGTAAACCATGGAACATAAGTTCATGAGAGTAGTGATGGAAGTGCTGCTCCAGTTGCTCCAAACAGCTCCAAAAAATGAATGCTGCCCATGCTGCTCCAAAATTCAATATTGCTCCGAACTGCTCCAAACCTGCTCCGAAAGGACATTGGGAAACTAAAAACAATTAAGTTAAATCATGTGACTATGCGTGGATATGCTGTGATTTTTATTCAGAGTTTACTACTACGGCATCTTTCATGATCATATGGTGTTTTTGGGATGTTAAACCCCCACATATCAATCAATCATGACCTCTTCGCCTGAACAAAAGTTGAGAAATATTGCCTAGAACAGATTCGATGATGTTATAAATAACTATAACTACATTAAATGGTCAATTAATGGAAGTAATTAACAGTGGCAAATGCCTATTATATGGAGTGGTTGTGATGTGGTGTTGAAAATGTAGTTATTCTAATTAACATGTTGGTAATATTTTTTGATACATGAAAGCGCAAGTAGTACTTTGAGTGAAATAATTTATTGCATTTGGAGTACACAGAGACATTTTTAATGCATGGGAGTGAGTTTCAGCTGGGAAACTTGCTCTTTAGGATCCCAGTGTTGGACACCAAGTTTTATTAAACTTTTATGCACATCAGCACATATTTTGCTCCATGCTTTGCGTTAATTTCTAGAGATGAATATGTATGCTCTGCATTTTTTTCAATGCTTTCATTAAGCAACACTATCTCAGCTATAGCTCCCAGTGTAAAGTGCATCTGGGGCTTATCATTGCACCCTTTGCCAAATATGCATGACCCATAAGCTTTTGGAGCCCTCTGTACACAGAATGCACTCGCATTTTATGTTTAAAACACTGTTTTCTTTCAGCACATTTGGTCAGCAGTCGCAAGAACAGAAACAGCAAGGAAGTAGCTCCACTCTATTTGCCGTAGGTGGCTCTGGTTTCCTCTCTGGCCTTGGAACAAAGCCGGCAGCAGATGCTTCTAGCAAGAATGTGTTTGGTGGCCCATCATCCTTCACTTCTGCTGGCCAAACCGCAAGTATGTTGGCATTAAATATTTGCGAGACTTTGTCCTTTCGTGGATTTTATCCAGCATCCTTGCGTTAACTTCATGCAATTTTCAGCAAAAAAAAAAAAAAAAGATTTAACTCATTCGACAGAGCTTAGATATTAACCACTTTCTAATTTGTTTGGGCTGACAAGTGCGTAGTTTTTCTCTCTCTCTCTCTTTTTACATGCAAGTGCTATGGGGGACCAGCGCAGGATAGGTGGTGCGCCGAAAAAGAGCACCTGGCGCAGAGTCGCAACACAACTCATGTGCTCGCGCTCAGATGACCGGCCGCTAATAGTCTGCTGCTACAGGTTTTGCCAATGCCTTTCTCTGGCTCTTGGGGAAGTCACTCTTGTAAAGGAGATGGGTTTGATCACGCAGCACAAGGTAGATCGTGATTGCGTCGATGAGAACCAGAAGACAGAGTGTACTGCATTCCCTTTAGTCGCCATTTTGAATTTGCGTGACCGAATATTTACATGCTAGTGCAGCTTCTGGTAAAGCGGAAAGATGTTCTGCCAATTACGCTTTTCCTCTTGCGAAGCGGTCCGAGATTAATGGGGCTCGTCGCTTTCTCTCACTCTATGAAACAGGCAGATTTCTCATCTATTTTGCCCCTTCCACCTGCTTGGAGTTCTAGTGTGACCGCAGTACATTTTTCTTTTCTCCTTTTTTTTTTACTGCAAAACCTGTACATGTCTAGGAGAAACGAAAAACTGTTGAGCATCAGTGTCACGAGCGGTCTCCATTGGCTGTGTTATCAGTTACGTCGTTCTTAGAGTCGTACCCAGGCACATGCGTCATTGGCCACATTGTGAGTGACGTCGTTCATGCCGTCGCAGTTGTAAGGATGGTCGATTAAATTTTTTAATATATTAGGTTTTAATCAATAATTGATTTAGCATTTAATTGATTAATTGATCTCAGTGTGATGTCTTAATCAGTTAATTGACATTCTTTTTTTGGTGCTTTAAAAGCATTGTTTGTATAAGAATGGAAGCTTGAACGAGTTGGTGTGCATTCATCTTGGTTGATACAGCGCACAAGAGAGGAGGACTAAAAATAATGAACCTACTGGCCTCGAAGCTTGCCTGCTCTAGCGCATCTGTCAGTGCCTTGTTCTTGTTCCACCTTCTCTTGTGGCTCATACCCACTGTGTGGTATTGGCCAAGAATACAGTGGTCTTATAAAATTTTATGGAATTCCAGAGTAATGGAGATTATAGAATAAATGCATAAGAAATTTTAGAATGAAACTTTGATGCTCACTCAAATTTACAAATTATGTGCTGTGTTTCTTATTCTTCGTTGTCTCATGTGTACTGTATCTACCAAAATAAAAGCATTGTTTCTTCGATCTCAACCAAAGTATTCCTATCAGGCGCGCTACAGATCGCATGTGCATATGTCAGCCTTCTTGAAAATTTGTTCTTTCGGCCAGTGGATACAGGTGAATCATCGTCAATAGGTGATGTCACAGAATGAAGGATGTATGGCCATTATCTATGGATGATTCAGCAGCAGGTTGTATTTCCTCAAAGCCTGCTTAGCGCACCGAAATCAGAGGTGTTTTCGGCGACTACAGGGGTTGAAATTATTATTATTAATGTTGTTGTTGTTGATTCGCATAGAGATACGCAAGAACAGAGAGAAAAGAGGAAGAGAAGACACACCGGAAACGTCCAGCTGGCCGAGCGTAAGGTCATCCCTAGAAAGGCAAATCAGAAGCGAAGAGAAGAGAAAGTAAATAAGATGCTCGCACTGCATGCATGTTTGCCCAGTGCTTGAATTTGGATGTATATCATACGCTGGAGCTCCTGCTTATAAGCTTCATTTTCTAGTAGTCCTCAAGAGACAAGCTTTGAGATTATGCTTAGCTCTTCTGCAATTTGAGGCAACCAATGTCTTGTAAATGAAAGCTAGGCTACCTTCACTTACTACCCTGCTTAGATTGTTAATACTAGTCATTTCTAAATCTGTATAAATCCCCCGTTAGGTGTTTAGAAACAGTTTTTATTGCCCATCCTGACTTGTTTTTTGAAGTATATTGACCAAAATTATATGCGCCTCAAATTTTAGTTATACAGAGCCCTCTTGATGAAATAAACATTCATATTAATGATCTGTGTATGATCAGTAATAGCAACAACTCTACCAAAATAGTGTTTGATGATGTTTTTTCGAACGATGCAAAACTAATGTTGCTCTGCTTATTTAGCCCTATATTCACGTTTCCCTTCAACATACGCCAATAAAGACAGTCATAATGACGGATGCTTCACAATGTGAAGAAAAGTGTGTAATTGGGATTTTTTAGTTGTTTGCCCTTTGCCTTTCAAACTTTGTGCCCATCTTTATAGCAGAATTTTTAGCAATAATTTTATCTTCGTGTAAACTTAGCAGCATCAATAAGCTCAGCTATAATTTTGAGGAATTTGCTATCTGTATGTTTGGCCCTCACTGCAAATGAGGATTTGGACATTTTGAGTGCTTTTGAATTATTGGTTCCACTGCACACTAATTTAATCAAGTTTCTTAGGGTTCCATATACTATATATTGTCGCGAGAGGAAACAATAGACAGGAACTCGAAGTGGACGATGGTTTACTAAGCCACAGCAGCTATTCACTTCTTCGCTGTCCTCTTCTACCACTAACACAGCATGGCATTACCCTCTCTCTAAAGGAAAAAAAAAAAAAAAAAGGAAGCCTCGCATGAATGCCGTGGCTCCAAAAAACAACAAAAGGTAGTAAAAATGTCTGTGTCCATTGAGAAGAAAAAAAGATATGGGAAAAAAAGAAGCGAGAAAGAAGAGAAAGAAATGTACAACTGTCTTGAAGGCAAGTGCCTCATCACAAAGTTCTTGACTTGCAGTCAACGCGAATAGTAATGCTTCATCCTGGAGTCGTGAACCACATCCGAGTAACGTGGTCTACAAGAATGGTGCGATGTGTCTGCTGGGACAACTTCGTAGTTAACTTCCCCGAGGCGATGAAGAACTCGGTAGGGTTCGAAGTACCGACATAACAATTTTTCTGAGCATCCACGTTGACGTATAGGAGTCCAAACCCAGACAAGGTCACCGGGATTGTATATTACTGCTCTGTAGTAAATGTTGTACCGTCGAGCATCTTAATTTCGCTGCGATAAAATGCGAAAGCGTGCCAGCTGCCGGGCATCTTCAGCACGCTGAATGAATACATCTGCGTCCGGGGTAATCATGTCCGGCAGAGTTGGTTGCAGCATGGTGTCAAGGAATGTGGTGACGCAGCCGTAAACCACACGAAAAGGAGCAAAGCCAGTGGCTTCCTGCAGAGCCGTATTATTAGCAAATGTTATATACGGGAGGATTTCGTCTCAATTCTTCTGATTCTTGGCGACATACATCGAAAGCATATCTGTAATCGTTTTGTTACGGCGTTCTGTTGACCCGTTAGTCTGCAAGTGGTACGCAGTTGCTGTTCGGTGCGTCGTGCCGCTCAGCAACAGGATCTCTCGGAGCAACTGTGCCGTAAAGGCAGTACCACGATCTGTGATGATGACAGCGGGAGTACCGTGGTGGAGAACGATATTCTTGATAAAAAAGTCAGCCACATGGAAGCAGTTGCTCGCTGGGTGGCTTGTGTTTCGCAGTATCTGGTCAAGTAGTCGGTGGCAACCACAATCCAGCGGTTACCAGCCGTAGACTTCGGAAATGGGCCGAGTAAATCTATCCCGACCTTTTCAAAAGGTGCGTGAGGGGGCCGCAAAGGCTGAAGCAGACTGGCTGGTTTGGTCGTTGGATTTTTGCGGCGCTGGCACGCTGTGCATGTTTTGACGTACTGCCGGACGGTTTTCGTAAGTTTCCGCCAGTAGTATTTTCCTTAAGCCACACCAGAGTATGGGCGAACCCAAGATGCCCTGACGATGGCTCGTCGTTACAAGCACGCAAAATATCATCGCAGAGAGCAGCAGGATTGATGAGGAGGTAAACAGTTTTCGTTGGATGAAAGTTGCGCTTGTAGAGGATGTCTTGGCGTAGACAGAAAGATGACAAATCACGTGCAAACTGACATGGGGGTTGTGGGCGATGTCCCTCAAGCTATTCGATCAGTGGTTGTAGTTCTGAGTCTTCGCGTTGCTGCTCAGCCACATTTAGTGATACGAGAATAGCAAGGCAGCTGAAGTCTTCATCCTTGTCTTCTGCAGCGATCTCGACGGGTGTGCGGGAAAGCAGCGTCGATGTGTTTCTGGCCAGACTTGTGAACCATCGTTATATCGAATCTCTGTAACCGAAGGCTCCATCTTGCGAGACAGCCCAAAGGATCTTTCAGATTCGCTAGCCAGCAGAGAGAGTGGTGGTCACTGACGATTTGGAAAGGGCGTCCGTACAAGTAGGGCCTGAATTTCGTAATGGCCCATACAACCGCCAGACATTCTTTTTTAGTCGTTGAGTAGTTCTTCTCCGCAGATGACAACGTGCGGCTAGCGTAGGCGATGATGCGTTCCACGCCATCTTGATATTGCACGAGAATAGCTCCGAGGCCAAGGTTACTCACGTCAGTGCGGACTTCTGTGTCTGCTTCGGTGTCGAAGTGACCAAGGATCAGCAGTGTTTGTAGGCATTGTTGAAGGTTGTGGAAAGCGTTGGATTGTTTGGGACCCCAGACGAAGGCAATGTCGTCCTTGACGAGTTGTTGTAGAGGGTCGGCGATTTTCGAAAAATTCGGTACGAAGCGGCAGTAATAAGCACAAAGGCCTAGAAAGCGGCGTACATGATGCTTTGTTCTCGGTATCGGGAACAAAGCAACTGCCATAGCTTTCTCAGGGTCGGCGCGAACACCACAGCTGCTGTCAATGTGCCCAAGAAATTTGAGCTCCTCGTATCCAAAATAACACTTTTCCGGTTTCAGAGAGAGGCCAGCAGTGCGAATAGCCAAAAGAACCGCCTTAAGCCGCTCAATGTGCTGTTCAAAAGTCGTAGAAAAAACGACTATGTCATCTAAATAC